TTTGCCCCTAAATTATAAACTCTTACAGTTGGATGCATATGTTGTTGAGTGTATGACTCATACTGATTTCTTCCATGAGCTCTACCTCTACTTCTTTGAGATGCCATAACAGATCTCTCTTTGTACAGTCTCATCAGTCAGGAAAGGATAGTCTCGAATAAAATGTCCAACATCCCTACATTTAAAACAGGCTACTGAAATCACTCTACAGACTCCTGTATGATTTTTTCCACAATATGAACATTGCCTGGATTGACTTATATTTGATCTTTTAGCCGTAGAAACAGCTGATTCAAACATGTCCTGAGTTGGAGAATCCAAATATCTATTTTTCTCTGATGGTGATGAACTCGATGAAGTATCAATTCTCTTAGATTTCTGAACTTTATGCTCTTTGAATCTCTCATTCTAAGCTCTCTCTAGAGCTTTAGATCGATTGACCACCTCTTGAAACAATGAAAAATTCAAGGCTAACAACAACTCTTTTAGCCAAGGGCCCAAGCCCTCCACAAACCAATCACATACATCATTTTCAGTCTGAATAAGCTTAACAACGAAACGACTTAACTTGTTAAACTCATATTTATATTCATACACTGTATAATTTCCTTGTTTCAAATTCAGAAATTCTTGCTTCATCTGTCTAATAAACTAAACACCAATATACTTACGCTTGAATTATTCTAAAAAGAATAACCATGTTACTTGATCACTTCTCAATCTCATGGAGACATTTGTCTACCATATTCTAGCTTGACCAAGCAACATCAAAACTATTCCATCCAATTTCTCAATGTCAGTTGAGTCCATCTAACATCATCTTAACATCGTTCAACCAAAGACCCACAACAACAGGATCTTCCTCAGCTTCACCCTTGAACTCGGGTTCTTCTAAACCTTTCAATTCCTTAGCTATATTCATTCGAAGAGATGAGGGAACAGGAGGTTGAGAACGCGAAAAAAATAACGTTTAACGTCCCGAAAAACAACCCTTGATCTCTCACTGGTACTACTGGAGGTGTTCGTTCTTCACCATACCTGCCAGGGCAGGTGAATTGCTACTACCTTTAGGTCTATCACTTCTCCTTTCACTTCGAGAACTATCACGATCAGACATCTAATACATAACCATATAATTTTATTAGAAGACAACATGCTCATGACTCTATCAGATCAGAAACTTTCACTTTTTGTTGGCATGTATACTTTTTAAAACACCTTTTTACTTTGGTTTAATCCTAGAATCAACTAAACCTTAGCTCTGATACTAGTAAATATAACACCCCCAATCTGTACCTGACCTGGATATGAATCTGAGGTGTCACATTGACTATTCAAAACTTGTACTTTTATAAAAACCATAGAAATTTAAACTTTCATTAAAATAAAGTTAACCTATTGCATAAGTATGTTCAAAACATTACCAAACTCGATCAGAGCATACATACTTAACGACTTTGTTTATATGCCAACATGCCTATTACATAAAAAACATACTTTACAAAATATTTCTGATCTGATCTTTGAGTGGAGATATGCTATTTTGCTGGTCCTAAGCTTGATCCTCTTGCTTATCAACACCTACGTGTAAAACACTTACACACTAAGTCATAGACTTAGTGAGACATGTAACCATTAATCGAAACTATTCTACTTAACAAATGAATGTATATTTCATACACCATAAACTTATATGCACACATATCAATATTAACATTCTTATCATTCATTCATATATTCATATAATCATATAATCTTAAAACTAACAATGCATATCACATCACATAACTCCAGTAATACTTTTCACATTTCAAAGTATATATCTCATACACAATGCACTTGTTTTTATCTTTCTTTATTAGCTCATGTATATTTCTGAGAACTTAAGGTATGCGAGTACATAGAGGTTGTACACATATGTTGTTACCACAGCTCGTAAAATTCCCACAAGAGGCACTTAGAAATTTGTCCCGAATGACCACTATGTCCCGAAAGACCACATATCACATATGTCCAAAAGGACCACACCTTACGAACCATATACATATTCCAATAGACCAAATAAATGTACCGAAGTACCGCATATATGTTCTAAAGGATTATATATATGTCCCGAATGATCATATAGAACCCTCGACTCTTGGCATGCCAACTATACCCCTAGCTATCATAACACATAACATGGGCATTATTATTTATATTTATCACACATTCACATATTCATATCACATAGGCATATAACTCATGGCTTCTTATCACATATCATGTAATACTCTCATGGAGTCTCATATCTTCTTATCGTGTATCTCATATCACATGTTCTTGTATTCATATAACAAATAATCACATATATTACTTTCACATATCTCTTTCCATATGTATTATCTCTTAGATTCACATAACTTATTATCAAACATAGCTAATGATCACACACTTTATCATACATACATGCATTCAAATATTTCATATATATATATATGTATTCAACATCTAGACATATGCATTTGCTCATGTACATCTAGCATCATATCACTACATGCTTATATTCCAGTACTCCTATAACCTAACATTGGAATTAGACTCCTCACAAGTCTTAATTTCCTAACATAACTTACGCTTAATATCATGTACTCACCTTGGTCTCAATTAACAAATTCCAAGCTCTTGCTTCCTTCTCATAATTCTTACTCTGACGGTCTATTCGAACTTTGCTTTCAATAAATATCTACACGAATATAATCTAATGAATATCGGAATTTTAATTAATCGATAATATTCAAACCAAAGCAAACTACATAAACACTAATTTCCACTTTCCAACTTAAGTAGTATCAGTACTACCCTCACACTACCGATACTTCTATGTTAGGGTACCGATACCCTACCCCGGTATCGATACCAAAATTAGCTTCGATGTTACTGGTATTGATACCCTCCACATTGGTATCGATACTTTTTTCCTTATGGTATCGATACTGTTCATGCAGTATCGATACCCCAAGCATAAATTTCTCATAAATTACCTTGTAGTATCGGTACCTACTCAACCAGTACCGACACTACCAACCCATAATTCATTCATTAATACCAAAAATTCCCTAAAACTTTGCTATTTTTCCTTTTTACTCTTCCATAAAACCGTTAAACTCAACTATATACTCCTAAACTAACTTACTTCACTTTATCACACTTTAACATCTCATATTCTAATCAAACACTTGGAACCAAAAATCATATCCATTATTGAACATGTTTTAAATCCACTTCTACTACTTTTATTTTCTTAATTATACCCTTGACAAGTCAAATTCATTAATAAAAATTCAAAAACCTCTTTATACAAATAATTCATTTCTACACCCTTTTTACAATTTCCTTTCTAAATCTCTCATCTTGATGTTTTAAGATCATATAATCTTTCCTTAAGTTTATATAACACCCAAAGAATCAAAACTCACTTAGAAATTCAAGAAATCAACATCTGAAATCAAACTTACCTTTCTGATGGAACTAACGGGAAGAAAAAGAAGACAAGAGGAAATAGCTTCCAGATATCTCCTATAACCCACATGCTTATCCATTAATAAGGATGATAAAATATCCTTTAGGCTGAAAAGAGTTTAATAGCCTTTATTCCTTCTTTAATTACCATCTAATGTAATACTCACATATTCATATTTAAGCCCTTGCACTTTTCAATTTTCCTAAATTGATCACCAACTTTCAAAAACTCTCATTATAGTCACTAGCCTTGATTTTGGGATGTTACAGAGGAACACTTTAGGTTGCTTATGCATGAATTTGCATGAGAATTTGAAGTGAATTAAAAAACCATAAATTAAGACAATTTGAAACTGAATTTGGATTGTGCATCGTCATGATTTGTTGCTTCTATCTCAAAGTGTCATGGGACTTGAAAGCTTCACAGCCAAGTGTCCATGAAAAAAAATGTCAAGGAACCTTGAATAAGAGGATGAAGAAGAAAGAAATGAAGGTGAATAAGAAGAACGAAAGGAAGCATCTGCACTTTCGATTCAAGTCAAACGGAAGGAAGCATCGACACCTTTGATTCAAGTTGAATGGAATGAAGCATCGACACTTTAGATTCAAGTCGAACGGAAGGAGGCATCGCACTTTCGATTCAAGTATTCATCTTTAGGTCAAGAAGGTCGAAGAAGTTGGGGGAATGTTAGATTATTAAGTAGTTGATGTTAGTTGGCAATTAGTTAAGAATTTGTTAGATTTGTTAGGGTGTTAATATTAGGTTATAAATATCCAATTATTGTAATATGTTGAATATCATTGTACACCATTTTCTACAGTTAGTTAGAACACTTAATACTCTCTGTTTGTTTTCCATAGGCTATTTCCTTTCTTCTTTCTATTTCATATTGCAGTTTAGCAACGCCGACCTTTGTGCTAGAGTATCAACATTCCATCATGGAATCATTCCCTAAAAGATCCTAGCGTCATTTTCTCTTCCGTCGTTGCGCCGACGATTGAGTTTCTTTACTCTCACGAAGTTGCTACTACAGAGTTTGTAGATTTTTTCGATCTCCAGTTTTATTGTCGTTCTATTGCTTATGCTACGGTGCATGTGGTTTAATGTTGTCATCAACTCATCATAGTTACTAGGAATCTTCTCAATTCATCTTCTAACAATATTCCTGGTATGAAAGAAATTGATTTGTAGGCTGTAGTCATTACTGGAACCTTAGTGTGCTTTAACATTGGATTTAATTTTTCATTTACTTTGGTGATTCGTGTCCTGTGTTTGGAGTTATATCAGTAGTTGTTGGTGTTTATAGAGTATTCTGATTTCTGATTTCGTTAAGTTTACTGGTGTTGATAATCTATTCGACCAAATGTTTCAATGATGTTGCTGGTATCTGATTTGTTTCAGTTGAACGGATACACGCCCCGCCCCTCCTTGTTTTTCTTATATTTTCAAGCAATTTTTTGTTTCCATTCCTTTTAGATTTTCCTTCTAGATATTGAATCTTTAAGAAGAAGAAAAATGAGAGAATGCATCTCAGTTCACATCAGCCAGCCCGATATTCAGGTTGGAAATGCTTGCTGGGAAGTTTACTGCCTCGAGCATGGAATTCAGCCTGATGGCCAAATGCCAAGCGATAAGACTGTTGGTGTAGGAGATGACGTTTTCAACACCTTTTTCAGCAAAACTGGTGCTGGGAAGCATGTCTCACCCGCTATATTTGTGGATCTGGAACCGACTGTTATTGATGAAGTGAGGACCAGAACCTACCGTCAGCTCTTCCATCCTGAGCAACTCATTAGTGGCAAAGAATATGCTGCCAATAATTTCGCTCGTGGTCATTATACAATTGGCAAAGAGATTGTTGATGTCTGCTTGGATCGCATCCAAAAGCTTGCTGATAATTGCACTGGCCTCCAAGGCTTCTTGGTTTTCAATGCTGTTGGTGGTGGTACTGGCTCTGGACTTTGATCTCTTCACTTGGAGCGTCTCTCTGTTGACTATGGAAAGAAGTTAAAGCATGGGTTCACCGTCTATCCTTCACCTCAGGTTATCTCATCTCTTACAGCCTCATCGAGGTTTGATGGAGCCCTGAATCACCAGCAATACATAACGTCTGCTTCTAATTACGGTCAATAGGATTGATCACAATTGACCACATGGAGCAGGGTCACTCTTTAAAGCTAATGGTATGGTAAATTGTTAGAGTTTTTTGAATAGTTTGTTTAAAGTTAGAGTTTGTCGGGAGTTCAATTTCTTGTTGCCTTTAGAAACAAATTTTGTTGTACTAGTTTCTTGTGGATGAGTTGCACTTTATTGCATTGCTGGTTATTTTAAATTGTACATCGTCATGATTTGTTGCTTCTATCTCAAAGTGTCATGGGACTTGAAAGCTTCACATCCAAGTGTCCATGAAAAAAATGTCAAGGAACCTTGTATAAGAAGATGAAGAAGAAAGAAATGAAGGTGAATAAGAAGACCGAAAGGAAGCATCTGCACTTTCGATTTAAGTCGAATGGAAGGAAGCATCGACACCTTCGATTCAAGTCGAATGGAAGGAAGCATCGTCACTTTAGATTCAAGTCGAACGGAAGGAGGCATCGCACTTTTGCTTCAAGTGTCCATCTTTAGATTGTTAAGTAGTTGATGTTAGTTGGCAATTAGTTAAGAATTTGTTAGATTTGTTAGGGTGTTAATATTAGGTTATAAATATCCAATTATTGTAATGTGTTGAATATCATTGTAAGTTATTTTCTATAGTTAGTGAAAAAACTTAATACTGTCAGTTTGTTTTCCATAGTCTATTTCCTTTCTTCTTTCTATTTCATATTACAGTTTAGCAATGCCGACCTTTGTGCCGAAGTATCAACATTCCATCATGGTATCATTCGCTAAAAGTTCCTAGCGTCGCTTTCTCTTCCATCGTTGCACCGAAGATTGAGTTTCTTTACTCTTATGATGTTGCTACTGCAGAGTTTGTAGATTTTTTCGATCTCCAGTTTTATTGTCGTTGTTTTATTGCTTATGCTATGGTGCATGTATTTTAATGTTGTCATCAACTCATCATAGTTACTGGGAATCTTCTCAATTCATCTTCTAACTCTGTTTCTGGTATGAAAGAAATTGATTTGTAGGTTGTAGTCATTCCTGGAACCTTAGTGTGCTTTAACATTGGATTCAATTTTTCATTTACTTTGGTGATTCGTGTCCTACGTTTGGAGTTGTATCAGTAGTTGTTGGTGTTTATAGAGTGTTCTGAATTCTGATTTCGTTAAGTTTACTGGTGTTGATAATTGCTGATAATTGCACTGGCCTCCAAGGCTTCTTGGTTTTCAATGTTGTTGGTGGTGGTACTGGCTCTGGACTTTGATCTCTTCACTTGGAGCGTCTCTCTGTTGACTATGGAAAGAAGTCAAAGCTTGGGTTCACCGTCTATCCTTCACCTCAGGTTATCTCATCTCTTACAGCCTCATTGAGGTTTGATGGAGCCCTGAATCAGCAGCAGTACATAATGTCTGCTTCTAATTGCGGTTAATAGGATTCATCACAATTGACCACATGGAGCAGGGTCACTCTTGAAAGCTAATGGTATGGTAAATTGTTAGAGTTTTTTTAATAGTTTGTTTAAAGTTAGAGTTTGCCGGGAGTTCAATTTCTTGCTGCCTTTAGAAACAAATTTTGTTGTACTAGTTTCTTGTGGATGTGTTGCACTTTGTTGCATTGCTGGTTATTTTGGATTGTGCATCGTCATGATTTGTTGCTTCTATCTCAAAGTGTCATGGGACTTGAAAGCTTCACATCCAAGTGTCCATGAAAAAAAATATCAAGGAACCTTGTATAAGAGGATGAAGAAGAAAGAAATGAAGGTGCATAAGAAGAACGAAAGGAAGCATCTGCACTTTCGATTCAAGTCAAACGGAAGGAAGCATCGGCACTTTCGATTCAAGTCGAATGGAAGGAAGCATCGGCACTTTCGATTCAAGTCGAACGGAAGGAGGCATCGCACTTTCGATTCAAGTGTTCATCTTTAAGTCAAGAAGGTCGAAGAAGTTAGGGGAATGTTAGATTGTTAAGTAGTTGATGTTAGTTGACAATTAGTTAAGAATATGTTAGATTTGTTAGGGTGTTAATATTAGGTTATAAATATCCAATTATAGTAATGTGTTGAATATCATTGTAAGCCATTTTCTACAGTTAGTGAAAAAACTTAATACTCTCTGTTTGTTTTCCATAGTCTATTTCCTTTCTTCTTTCCATTTCATATTGCAGTTTAGTAATGCCGGCCTTTGTGCCGGAGCATCAACATTCCATCAGAATATAATAACACTCTTTTGGCGTAGACTTAATTCTTTTAGTGCATTCCTCCATTTCGAAATGTCATCAATACCCTTCATACAAGAAGCTATAGTAATTACTCCCAAGGGCAACCTGTACAACGCTTAGCAATTGATCTTGCAATTGGTTCCACGGCTGGAATATTGAGAATATCACGAGCCACCTTCTCCAAGAACAGCTTCTATGCCTCTTCTTCCGTCAGAGGCTTTATTTTAATTACTCGACAACCCAGTTGTCGACACACATCAGATGATCGGGTTGTCAATACTAATTTACTCCCAATAGACGGTTCAGGGATTCCTACTTTATCAAGGGAAACCTTCTCCCATAGGTCATCCAAGATCATCACAAACTTATTCTTTCGCAAAAATGTTTCAAAGAGCATCCCTGCCCTTGTTAGTTCATCTTCATCCCCAGAAAACTCTACTCCAATTTTACTTGCAATGTCTTTCTGCAGTTTAGCAATACTCATCTCCTTGGATACAGTGATTCAAATCTCAATATCCATGAAAACAACGTACCATTGTTTCCTTGGATACAGTGTCTCAAAATGGTACGCTGTTGACAAGTTTTACTTGTTTCCTTGGACACAGTGAAACAAGGTCAAGTAAGAAGGAATCAACTGAACAAGTGCAGAACCAAGATGGAAGAAAAATGGAGCACTTCAGTGCTTAATCTTCAAGTAACCATTCCATCATTTCTTTCAAAATCCATGAAGAAAAGTTAAAACTTACCATCAGCACGGTTTTTGGTACGTCCAAGCTTGAAACGGAGGCAATCAACATCTCCAAGCCTCTTCTCATACATGTTTACAAGCTCTTCATTCCCAACCCAGAATTCCTACAGCAATGCAAATTAGAATCATGAAAAAAGAAGCAACTAATAATATTGGAATGAAAGAGTTTGAAACTGAAACGGATACCTGCAGACACATAATGGAAGATCTCTCGTATAATAAGGAATCCGGTTGATTCCTGGCCAACCAGTACGCCCTATAATCGCTTTCGCGACAATTCTGGTCCTGAATCCATTCATTATTAATGCAAAACAAAACAGAAGATTAAAGGTAGTAGTTGAATATGATTTAAAAGAAGAAGAAAGAAGTAAACCTTATGAGAAAGGCGTTTGTAAATGGGATCAAGGATGTGATATCATGCGACTGCATAAAATCATTTACTAAAAAATTAATAAAATTAGTTAGATAATTTGTTGGAAAAAATATTCTATTATATAGGGTGTTGAGTAAAATAATTTTTCATTTAGTGTGAATAATACAATATACGTCGGAAGATATTTCGATGACATGATGATTTTGGAAAGACAGTCACTCGACGACTTTGGCAAGATTGCAATCTTATCAGCTTGCAAGGCATGCAATTTGGAGGAAGTCGTCGGAATGTCTTCCCAAAGTTGATGTATTGTCCGAGCGTTAAAGGCACTTCAGGTTAAAAGAACTTTCAATCAAATATTTCATTCAATCAGAAATAAAAATCGTTTAAGATTTACTCTTCTCTACAAAATCGTAAACTATTTTTACCTATTATTATAGTTGTTTAAATTTATTATATTTATTTTACATTAATTTTTTGTACATATTAAACACCATATAATAGTTTCTATATTACATAACATTAAATACTTTATATATAACTACACTAAATTATAAAATATGGAACAAAAATAAGAGTTAATTTTGAATTAAATAACATAATTAAGGAGTAAGGACTAAACGAAACATAAATAAAATTGCATACATATTAAACATGTCCTATTAAATAATTCAAAAATTCTAAACCTTAATTTTCAAAATCCTAAACTTTTTTAAATATCCTAAAATCAGTGTATAGTTGAAAACCAATATTATTTGTGGTTTTAGTGGAAGGCTTGATGTGCAGGAAGCGTCTTCTGCCATTTCGACCACGTAGGCCAAAAGGTGCTACCAGCTAAACGTATCTTACCAAAGACGCTCCCAATTAGTAACGCCTTTGACTTATGTGACCGAAAAATATGTTATTTCTAGAAATAATGTTGTTTGATGTACTATTTTTATAATTATATTTGAAAAGAATATTATTCTCGTAAATTTAACGAAATAAATATCGATGATAGAACTTGTCCACTAAGTAAACTTGTTTTGAAAGTTAAAATTATTTTGTGAAGATTACTTGTTCTACAAGTTAATCTTATTTTATGGAATTTTCTTTTTTTGATAATAAGTTTTTTACCAACTGTTTTTAAGGACAAGATCATAGCTCGGCTGATGGTTTATTTCGAAACCACCAAGGTAATTTCCTCTTGGCTTACAATAAGAACTTGGGTGTTTACTCTGTCCTTCATGCCGAACTTTGGCGAGTTTTCGAAAGTCTAAAGCTGGGCTGCGCAAACAGACAATGCTGATGTTTATACCTTGCTCTCTTCACCTTCTGCTGCGAGCCTTTTCGCCTTGATTCGCTCTATCGCTGCCATGCTTACCAACGAATGGGTAATTGATTTTGTCCATATTCCACGTGAAGCTAATACTGCTGCTGACTCTATTGCAAAGTTGTCCTTGAGACGGAGATATCTTCTACAAGTTTTTGAGACTCATCCAACAGCTGTTCTTCCGATCTTATGTAGAAACTTTACCAGTGCTTCTT